GATTTGCAATCAGTCGATGGTTAGTATTGGGTTTGCCGTTTCTGAATCTCTAATGTAAATGGTGCTTGTCTTTAAAAATAACTATGATAACAATACTAACTGCAGATGTATAATCGACATTGCAATTACAGGAACAAGATAGTTGTGCAACATACTTCAGTGAACCAGCGATACCATTTTCATAGTGGGAACAATGTACCCCGGTCACTGAAAGCATTTAAAAAGGGTACAGCTCTGCAGGCACCAGGCACCCTCTGTTAGTGCACGCAGGACAGCACGGTCACTCAGCGGTTAGCACTGCTACCTCACAGCGTCAGGCACCCGGGTTCGATTCCACCCTCGGGCAACTGTCTGTGTGGAGTTTGCACATTCTCTTCGAGTCTGCATGGGTTTCCTCTGGGTGCTCCGGTTTCCTCCCACAGTCCAAAGATGTGCAGGTTAGGGTGGATTGGCCACGGGAAATGTGGGGTAATGGGATTAGGTGGGGGTGGGTGGTGTTGGGTGCAACATTTGATGGGTCAAGTGGCCTCTTTCCTCACTGTAGGGGCTCTATGATCTTCGTTGAAGAGACAGCTCGTGTGGGTAATTTACTGCAACCAAAAACATTATGTTCTTACACATTAGAAAATACCACTAATAGGAAAAATATGGGATGGACAGAATGCCACAATCTCTTCATCATCTCCAGGGCTTTTAGATGCCCAAATCAATTACTCTTCAAGTTCAATGGGAAACTGATTCCCAAAGAACAGAAACTGTTTTTACAAATGAGAAGAATGATGCTGCTACACATGTTGAACAAAGGAATTCTCACCCTTGTCTGTTAATACATGATAGTGTGAACATTGATATAGGAACAGGGGCAAGGCCATTCAACTCTTTGAGCCTGTTCTGCCATTCAATGAGATTGTGGTTGATTGGTGGCTGAGACTCCATATACTTGCCTCACACCCATATGCCTTAATACATTTGCCTAACAAAAAAAAACTCTCAGATTTAAAATTTACAACTGATCCAGCAGCTGCAGCAGGTTGTGGAAATGAATTCCAAACCTCTACCACTCCTTTGTGTGCAAAAGTGCTTCCTAACATCTCTTCTAAATGGTTTGCCTGTAATTTATAAGCTATGCCACCTAGTTCTGAAATCTCCAATTAGTGGAAATAGTTTATATTTATCTATGAGATAGCAGGAACTGCCGATGCTGGAGTCAGAGATAACACAGTGTGGAGCTGGGGGAACACGGCAGGCCAGGCAGCATCAGAGCAGCAGGAAAGCTGACATTTCGGGTCAGGAAGAAGGGTCCCAATCCATAACGTCAGCTTTCCTGTTTCTCTGATGCTGCCTGGCCTGCTACGTTTCTCCAACTCCACACTTTGTTATATTTATCCATGCTTTCTTTTCCTGTTAATATTCAGAAGACTTTAATAAGATCACACCTTAACCTTCTACATTCTAGAGAAAACAGAAAAAAACAGAAAACCTGATTTGTATAATCTCTCCTCACAACTTAACCCCTAAATTTCAGGTATCACTCTCGTAAACCTACATTGTATTCCCTTGAAGGTCAATACATCCTTCCAAAGGTGCAGTGCTCTGATCTGCTCATAGTACTCCAAGTGGATAAATAGACAGTCGGGACTTGAAACTTAATAGGTCTTTGTTTGAAGAGGGAAAGAACAGTCAACACTTCTAAATACTTAAACAAATTGAAGACCTCTTGTTTTAATAGCAGTATGGTGGGAAGCTGGAATACATCTTAACTCTGAATTGCTTCTCTATTTCTCTTTAACTTGCAGCACGAGACCATCTGTTAAATAACATGGATGGAATTCGTAGCAGATGATCTTAATGGTAGATTTTTTAAGTGCTCCCTCAAGATCAGTTGACAAGTTCACTGTCTGGCACACAGCTGGATTATACAATCTAACACTTTGATCCCTGCTCCATTAATTGATCTCAGCTCGATGGTAATATGGGAAGCTGCAATTAACCTCAGCTGCCTAATGGAAGGGATGGAGGTGAAAGCATCAACTGGAGGTTTTTGCTTCTGATCATTGCAGGTACAGAGCAACTTGCTAGTCATTTAACTGTACGTTTATGGGAGCTTGCTGTGTACAAACTGGTTTTTAACAACCTTTAGTGGACAAGACTACCCATTTCCTTATGAAACCCCTCTGGCAATTTCTGAGTGATGTGACAAGGTGCCATATAAAAGGTAAGTTTTCTTCATGTTACCCATTCATACATGCTATGACAATGCCCGAGACTTACAAGAAAGGACAGTATGTGAACAACTTTTGAGGATGGTGAGCTGGGCTCATTTTGACAAGAGTAGGTTGGTATCAGCCAGTTGCATGAATAGATATTGTCCCACAAAAGGAAGTTAAGCAAAACCTTCAGCTGGACTATGGTGCCCTATTCAGGATCCTCATGGTGCAGTCAAGATATTCAAGGCCATGTGGAGGGAACAGAAGAGATTTGCAGGAATGGTACTGCAGAATAAAGGGTCTTCTCAGTTATGGGGAGAAACCGAAGAGGCTGAGATTGTTATGAAAGTAGAAATGATGAGGGGAGAATTAATTGAGATATTCAAAAGCATGAAGGGCTTCCATTGAGAAATAGTTTCCACCAGGACAGTCAGTCACCAGAGGACACAGACTTAACATAATTGGCCATATTTACAGAATTGTTATCTGTGGAAAGGCACTACCCAAAAATGACTGAAGCATTCACTGGTAAGTACAAAAAGGTAAAAATTTGCATGGCTGATGTTGTGTTTCACAGTCAGTATATCTTTATGCCTCAGATACACGTGCATGTCGGGATGGCAAGGCAGATCAGTGGTTAGCACTGCTGCCTCACAGCACCAGGGACCCAGGTTTGATTCCAATCTCAGGGGGTTGGGGGGGTAGCTGTTTGTGTGAAGTTTGCACATTCTCCCTGCATTTGAGAGAGTTTCCACTGGGTGCGCTACGGTCCAAAGATATGCAGGTTAGATGGATTGGCCACGGTAAACGTGGGGTTAGGGTAAGGGACTGTGCCCAGATGGGATGCTTTTTGGAGGGTTGGTGTAGACTCAATGAACTCAATGAGCTCCTTCTGCACTGCAGGGATTCTATGATTCCATGTTATCACAGCATCTTCAAGGACCTCATGCTGCATCTTACCTTGGACCACCTCAAGTATTAAGGCATAACTGAAATTATACAAAAATAACTGTGGACGCTAGAAATCTGAAAAAAAAACTGCTGGAGAAACTCAGCAGGTCTGGCATTATCTGTGGAGAGAAAGCAGACAACATTTTGAATCCAGTGAACATTCCTCAGACCTATTGGAATCATATTCCAATGTTGTAATATTACAGATTAAAATTAGTCCAGATATTTATGTGGAGGGGAATGTAATTGTTTTATGAATGTATAAACTTAGGAACAGAAATAGGCGAGTCAGCCCCCTGAGCTTGCTCTGCCAATCAAGATTGTCATGGCTGTTTCGCATTCCACAATCCCATTAACTCCCAATAACATTTGATTTCGTTGTCTATTAATAATCTATCCAGTTCTGAGGAAGGGTCGCTGGACTTAAAATGTTAACTCTGATTTTCTCTTCGAAGATGCTGCCAGGCCTGCTGAGCTTTTCCAGCAATTTCTGTTTCTGTTGTTGTTGTTGTTAATACCCTCTCTACCTCTGCCTTAAAAATGTTTGACCACCCGACGTCTAATGGCTACTGACGCAGAGAATGGCAAAGTCTCACACCCCTCAGAAAAACAAATCTTCATCTCGGTGCTAAAAAGGGCAACCCCTAATTTTCTCCCCCTGCTTCGCACCCTCTCCCAGCCTGCACCATCTCAACTTGAATGGCTTCCTGTACTGCAGTGCTTTGGTCAGTTAACTCATCTACACTGACCCAATCAAGCTGAATATACCTCAAACCTGCTGGATAACAAAAAGGGCTGAACCTTGTGTCCTCTTGATCCCTTACCTATTTCACTCACAGTCAAGCCCTTTGACCTCTGGCTAGAATGGACAACTCTATCCTAAGGGGTGTGATGGCCCCCTGGAATTAAACCTCCATTGCTGTTGACTGTTATAGAATCTCTGTTAGATCCTTCAATAATTGATGTTCCACGTCCAGTTTCTTGTGTTACCTCTGGTAACACAACTTTGGCCACAGCAGGTAAAAACAGCTTGTTGGAGGAAACTCACATCAGGGCGATGGGAAAGAAAAAGCAGCAGAGTGGATCAAATTGGATCGTGCTTTCAAGGATCAGCCAAGAGCAGACATGGGGACGACAGCCTCTTCCTGAGCCATTTGACTGTGAGCCTCTGGTAGATATTGAGCAAGGCAGATAATAGATAACCCACCGGGCCTTCTTGTGGCGCAGTGGTGGTATCCTTACCCCTGGACCAGGAGGCCCAGGTTCAAGTCCCACCTGCTCCAGACATCTGTCATAACATCTCTGAGCAAGTTGACCAGGAAAAGTAGGTTAAATTTCAAAAAAAGGTAACCCACTGTAGTTTGAAGGTACTGCTTTGGTAGGTGGCAATATGCCTCTCTATCGGTTGGTAGTGCTAATTGCTGCTTAATCGAGATTAGGGAAAACAAAATTTGACTCTAAAATTACTGTAAGAATATCATGCCCAAAGGATCAGCTGAAAGGAGCTCAAATTCTCAAAAGAGGAATGTGTTGTGTGCTGCTGCCTCAGACTGTGAAGCTGTTCACTCTCCAGCATACTCAATTATAAATACTGCACGAGCTAGAAACACCAGAGATTAATATTTTAAATAAGTAAAATGACTATGACTTATTCACGACCACAGAATGGAGAACACTGACCCAGATCCTCTATTTGATTCCGTCTCACCTGAACAGATTGCTGACTATTTTGGGTCCGAGCCTGGGCAGCCCTGACACCACACACTAACCTGTGCCACAAGGTCAAAAGACCATCATTCTGCGCGCATTTGGATAAGTCCAAGTGGAAGATCCTTATAAGGGCGACTGAGCTTTGTCCCTGGAATTAGTAATGCAGCCCAAGTATCAATGGCTCAGGATTGACGGTCTGCCTATATTTAGGGGCGAGCAAAGAGGACTTCCTGTGATATGGGGTAGAAGAATGAAAGGAGAGACAAACGTATATATTAGAATCATAGAGTCATAGAGATACACAGCACGGAAACAGACCCTTCCGTCCAACTCATTCATGCTAACCAGATATCCTAAATAAATCCAGTCCCATTTGCCAGCGTTTGGCCCATATCCCTCTAAACCCTTTCTCTTCATATCCCCATCCAGATGCCTCTTAAATGTTATAATTGTTCCAGCCTCCACCACTTCCTTGGGCAGCTCATTCCATACACGCACCACCCCTCTGCATGAAAAGTTGCTTCTTAGGTCCCTTTTTAAATCCATCCCCTCTCACCTTAAACCTACGCCATCTAGTTTTGGACACCCCTACCCCGGAGAAAAGATCTCGTCCATTTACCGTATCCATGTCCCTCATGATTTTATAAACCTCTATAAAAGGTCACCCCTCAGCATCCAACACTCCAGGGAAAGTAGCCCCAGCCTCTCCCCAGTAGCTCAAACCCTCCAAACCTGGCAACATCCTCAATCTCAATGCCATATTCCCGCTTTCTTCCCTTGATGCCTTAAATATCTTAAATATCATATCAATCCCTTTCTTGAATATATTCAGTGACTTGGCCCTCCACAGGTTCACTACCTTCTGAGTGAAGGATGTTTCCCCATCCCAGTTCTTAATGGTCTATTTGTACCTGAGACAGTGAGCCCTGGTTCTAGACTCCACAATCAGGTAAAACATCCTCCCTCCATCTAGTCTGTCCAGCCCTGTTAGAACTTTACACATTTCAATCAGATCCCGCTCATCGTTCTAAACTCTCATGAGTACAGGCCCAGTTGATCCAATCTCTCCTCACAGGACAGTCGTGCCATCTCCAGTAGAAGCTTGGTGAATTTCTGCTGCACTACCTCTCTTAGGTAGGGAGACTAAACTGCATGTAGTACTCCGGGTCTCACCCGACCTATATAACTGCAGTAAGATATCCCTACTTCTACCCTCAAATCCTCTTGCAATGTAGGCCAACATGCTGCTTATCTTCTCAACTGCTTGCTGTAACTTACTGATGGTGTACAAGGACACTTGGATCCCATTTTACATCTACATTTGCCAACACATCACATTTGAAATTATACTCTATTAAATAATAATTACATTAATTTACATCCTGTTTGTAACTGTAAGATCACTGTTAATTAAAGTGATCCCCAAAATCTTCCAACATCATGTTTCAGGCTTAAAAACGCCAGATACATAGAACGACATCGAGTTTACAGAATGGAACATCTGGTCAATGCTTACATCTACCAAAGTCTCCTCTCATCCTCTTTATCCCAACCTCACAACCTGTTCTCTGTTCCTCTTTCTGTCTCTCTCTTTCGTTTCAACTGTCCACAGCTGTTCAGACAAGAAGCATTCCAGATTTCCACGGCCATGTGTGGAGAAAGTGCTTCCTGTTTTCCTTGCCTGGATTTTACTTCCTCACTCTAACAGTGAGAACATACAATTCCGGTTGACTCTTCAGTACAATACTCTGGTGTCTACAGGCACTGTCGGAGTGACTGCATTTACAAAGATAGCCTCACATCCTGTTAGTGAGCAGTATTAAAAAACTTTTCAACAGTTGTATCAGCCTTTTGTTGTCAAATTTAACCTTCAGACTGTGTTAAAAAAAATCTTGAAGCCAAAAGAGGGAAGTGAACAACCAGAAAAGAAGGTGCTATATAAATGCATCTTTCTTGTCTGCTTCATTGGGTGCATGTTAAAAACACAGAGTTGGAAAATGTCACTCACCTTGCAGGCAGTGAGGAGCTGCCCTTTGGCTGATGTTTTTACACACAGTAGATTTGCCAGCTTTCAGATCACATTATCGTGATGATTACTCGCTGATTACTTTCCTTGCCTTACTGCTTCAAAATTTAATGAATAAACACAGCTGAAACAGACTGCATCCCACCCTTTGAAGAAACTCAATCCCATCGGCAGCTAAGATCAAGCTGCAGAAACAGCCATGTCCCACAATATGTCATGACTGAATGAAGAGCCGCACTGAAATCTGGAATTTACTGCCTGAGAAGGGGTGGGGCAACGAGGATCACAGGAAATAGGTGGAGGGATCTGAAGTAACTCCACAGAGACTGGTATCCCATCACCCATTATTTCCACGTGGAGAGTCCTTGACACTGATCCGCCTCCTCCACAGCCAGCTGTCAGAGTGAGCAGAACTCCTGACATTCCTGATTTATTTCTGTCAGCCAAGGCTCACTGATTGGGGCTGTTAATCTGGTCCGATCAGGTGATCACTCAAAGAGCCTTGAAATAACTCCAGTCACCAAGTCACCTTTATTTAGATGTGCAAAGTACATGACATTGAGCCAGCTATCTCCAAGCCAGCCCCTGGAGTGAACAGAAACCCTGATGCCCCTATTTAGATCAGTCAGCCAGGGCTCCCTGATTGGACCCGGTTAACAGCCCCAATCAGGGAACTCATTCTGAGGTCCATCTGGCTGACCTTGTTACAATCACTACAGAATCCTTTCAGACCATTGAGCCTGCTCTGCCATTCAATAAGTTCACGGCTGATCTAATTTTAACCCCAACCCTAGATTCCTGCATAACCCTGATAATCTTTCACCCATCCTCCCACTACTCTATAGCCAGGAATTCACCTACCTCTGCTGTAAAAAAAATTAAAGGGTCCGCATTCACTGCCTTTTGAGGAAAGGAATTCTGAACGCTTTGAACCTTGATATGGGTTTTAAATGGGCAACCCCTTTTAAGTCACCTCTGGCTCTCCTAAACTCCAGAGGATGCAGTCCTAGTTTTCCTCACTTTTAAACTGTGCACCTTATTTCTAGATTCCCTCATGACAAAACATTCCCTTAGAATCTACACTGTCAAGCCTCCTTCAATTGTATCACTTTTCATTTCATCTAAACACAAGAATATGTACAAACACACAACTTTTCCTCACAAGCCAACTCCTTCATCTCAGAAATTGACCTTGAGAACCCTCTCCAAACTGCTTTCAATGCAAGCGTATCCTCACTTAAATACAGAAAGCAAAACTTTACACTGTTACCCCGATATGTTCTCACTAATATCCTTACAGCTCGGATCATACAATCCCTATCATGTGGAAGCAATCCATTCGGCCCATCAAGTTCACACCAACACTCTGAAAAGCATCTCACCCAGAATCACCCCCTTGCATTTTCCTTGGCCAATCCACCTAACATGCACATCTTTGAACTGTGGAAGGGCACCAGTAGACCTGGAGGAAACCCACGCATACATGGGGATGGAATTGAACCTGGCTCCCTGGCGCTGTGAGGCAGCAGTGCTAACCACTGTGCTACCTTTCTGCCCTAAGTTGTTATGAGGCTTTCATACTTTTATGCTCCAAACCCCGTGTAATAAAGGCCAACATTCCATTTGCATTCCTGCTTATTTGCTGCAGCTACATACTAACATTTTACAATTCACATGCAAGTGCATACTCCATAACGTAGTGTTCTGCAGATTTTTCCCTCAGACAATTTTATACTTTTCCCCATCTGCCAATGTTTTTGCACACCCACTCACCTTTCTATATTACAGATTCTAAATCTCTCCTCCCTACGTTCTTGCTTACCCCTCAGGGTAACATCAGGACATTTGCTACAACAGTCAGTCCCTACATTCAGATGGATTATAGCTGCTAAATGTTAGTGCTAGAGATGTTAGGCCCAGGCTGAAAAAAGGCTCAACATAGATTTATTTTTGGTCTTAACCAGGTAGCTATTCAGAAACAAACCAACAATGCTGCAGATTTTGTTCTAACTGCAAAACTGAAGTTTATGGCATAGAAGAAACCAAGATTAAATAGAATAAACAAAACTATGAACAATTAACCAAACTATTAACTGTTAACTATTAGAAGCAACATAATTTTAAAGATTTAGAAACTCATGGTGAAACACAATCCCATTAATCCCAAAAAGTACTCCTTTTACATTACTCACACCAAGGATAATTCCCTCAGCAGGTCTGGCAGCATCTGTGGAGGAGAAAACAGAGTTAACATTTCGGGTCTGGTGACCCTTCCTCAGAACTGATGGTGGCTGGGAAAACGTCAGTTTATATGCAGAAAATAGGGAGGTGGGTGGGGTAGGGAGTAAACAATAAGATATCTGAGGAAGGGTCACCGGACCCGAAACGTTAACTCTGTTTTCTCCTCCACAGATGCTGCCAGACCTGCTGAGCTTTTCCAGCAACTTTGTTTTTGTTCCTGATTTACAGCATCCGCAGTTCTTTTGGCTTTTATTAAGGATAATTCCCTTCTATTTATCACCAATAGGCTTATTTCCAATGTTCTGATCTTATAATCTGGTAGCCTCTTCCTGGAGCCTTCATATTGCTGAGCTTAGACTTTCTCAGTTACAAATGACCCCTTCACGGTTTTAATCAAACACTCCTGGTCTGGAACTTTCAAACTAAAAACGTCCTTACACTTAGGTAATCTCTTTAACAGTCCTAAACTACTTCCCTTTCTCAGAAAGGACTGGTTTACACATTTAGCTTTCATCAAACCTTTGCAAAACTGCCAAACTGAAAGCCAAAGAGTTTTTTTTCAAGCATTAGGTGTTTCCCAAAAGCTCAAAACAAACAGTTTCTATCTAAAAGCATGAATGGACTACACTATCTACCTATTTCACTCAAAACCTCTGCCAATGACAACAAAACCCCCATTACTCACCAGGAAATCGCTCTCTAACACTGCGTTTTAAAATAAATCACCATTGCTACAGAAATACTACAAGTAAATCATTAAATTCCTTCAGATACACAGAAACACCCCATTTGCCACTAGTTCAAAATTGAAAAGCTAAAACAAAAGATGTTAAAACATATTTAATTCGCACATCATGTGACTGTGACTACTTTCATTAAAAAATACAGCATTTCTTAAACGATGATCAGTTTGAACAATGTTTCCCCATAGGATATGCTTTATTACTAATTTGTGGAATGTGG